GAAACAAATACAACGAAGCGATTCGCAGTGCCAAAAACCAGCACGATATAGAAATTAGGCGCAGGCTGATGTCGCAGCGCAACGGCAGTCGGTCTTTCTGGACGGTGGCCAAGCAAATTGAAATGAACTTCTCACACAGTAGCCTTCCACCGCTTACGTGTCAGGATGGAACTATTGTATTCGACTCAAAGGCCAAGGCGGAAGTGCTAGCCAAGATCTTTGTTACCAACTCCACCATGGACGTCCCCCCCAACGCCCAGGTGCCGTCAATTCAAAGCGGGAGGTAACATTCAGGCATAAGACCGTAACACGTGTGCTCTTGTCGCTCGACATCAACAAAGCTTCTGGTCCGGACTTGATTTCTGCTATTGTACTGAAAAGGTGTGCAGCGGAGCTTGCTCCAATTCTTTCGCGTCTCTTCCAGATATCTTATGAATCAGGCACCTTCCCAGAAAACTGGAAATTTGCCCATGTTCAACCCATCCAAAAAAAGGGATCTAAGACCGACCCTTACAACTACAGGCCTATAGCTCTGCTTTCTGTTATAAGTAAGGTGATGAACAGGTGTATAAATCGCGAGCTTCTGGACTACATCGAACATCACAGCTTGATTAGCGACAGGCAGTATGGTTTCCGGCACCAACGATCCACAGGGGACCTCATAGCTTACGTCACGCAATTGTGAAGTAAACTCATCCAGTCTTATGGTGAGGCTCATGTCGTTGCTCCTGACATCACGAAAGCGTTCGATCAGCTGTGGCACGCTGCCCTCTTAAGCAAACTTCCATCCTATGGCCTCCCAGAAAAGCATTGCAGATGGGTGGCTGACTTTATCTCTGGCCGCAAGATATCCGTCGTAATTGACGGGTTCTCCTCTTCGTCCCCAGGGATCGTTCTTGGCTCCAACACTGTTTCTCTTACATATCAACGACCTCCTTTCCTGCACGATCAACCCAATTCACAGCATCGCTGATGACAGCACTCTACATGCAGGAATTCAGAGTGACAAGCCGATCTCTGCCGCTGAGCTGGAAAAAAGAAGACTAGCGACGACTTCCTCTCTGACAAGAGACCTGGAGGCTATCACCGCTTGGAGACGCAACAATCTTGTACAGTTCAATGCTTCCAAAACACAGTACTGTACTTTGACGAACAAAAAGCGTCCTAGCGCTCATCCAGTTTCGATGGACGGGCGGGTTCTGCCATAGAGCCATTCATTGCGGCTGGTCGGAGTCCAGATCACAGAGGACCTGATCTGGCACGAACACATCTCGTCAATAGCTGCAGCTGCTGGGAAAAAGCTAGGCTATTTGTTTAGGGCTAAGAAGTACTTTTCTCCGCATGACCTTCTCAATCTATACAAGGCCCAGATAAGGCCTAGTCTCGAGTATTGCTCACACGTTTGGGGTGCTGCCGCCCCGTCTACATTATCCATGCTCGATGCTGTTCAGAGGAGGGCGGTCCGACTGATAGATGACTCTTCTCTAACAGACAGTCTCGGGACTCTTTCGCACCGACAAGCCGTCGGCGATCTGGCTCTTTTCTATCGCTACACCAACGGTCTTTGCTCCTCAGAGCTCTCTTCCATGATGCCGCCGTGCAATGTGCCAGCCAGAAAGTCCCGTCTGACTATGGCGTCCCATTCTAACCGTGTCAAACTTAGTACACCCAGAACTGGCCGATACGACCGCTCCTTTTTCCCGAGGGTGTCGAGATTGTGGAACAATCTACAAGAGGAAGCTTTTCCCAGTTCTACTAACCTCAGGCAGTTCAAAAATCGTATTAACAAAATTACTTTGGGATCATCATAGCAGCCGCGGTTCTGCCTGCGCGACTGCTTCGATATAAAAAAGAATTATTTTCGGAAACACCTACTAGATAGCGCTACGTAAGTGGAATATATGACGCATTAGCATCACTTTTTACTCTCTAGTCTATGAAACCTGCATTCAGTCTTATGTGTGTGGTACGCTAATGACATTATGTATATATTGTGTATATGTCGTTGTACAAGTCGTGGTCGACTAAATAAGACTTTGTGGTTGTGAATTAGGGATTTTTTCTTGGCAGTAAGTATTTACATAAAGGTTTAATGATTGTATGTGCAATGTCTATTAAGTTTTCTTAAATACATGTGGGTTTTGGTTTATTGTTAAATTTATATAAAATGTTGGTGTCGGGTATGTTGACGAATCTTCCAAGCGGATAAGATGACGAGTTCGTCATCTTACCCGATCTCTGTAAATCAGTATTTGAAAATAGGGTTGCAGTATTTGCAGTAAGCAACATGATAAAAATATATCAACGAAAGACGAATCTGCAAAGTTGGTCTAAGGAAGCGATGATGAAAGGGAGGATCGTCTGTAAATGGCACAGCAAAAAAATATAAACTTCCAGAAGCTACATTGCGACGCTACGCTAAGAAATATTCTGAGGAGGTAACTAAATATTTCATAACGTTATTGTTTATATTATTATTGTTATTGTTTTTAGGTATGAATGAATGAATGAATCTTGAATTTTAGAGGCATCCCGGCCACCATAAGGAGCCAGTGCATAGGCCGCTTAAGCGGGCCCTTATGCACCTCTACAATACTTAAATCACAAGCCTCGCCCTTTTAGCGAAGTTGAGAATCGCCTTGAGTCCAAGCTCCTTTACGTCCTGAGGGTCCAAAGTAATGGACCCCAGTATAGTCTGCCTATAGTAGCTCAGAGCTTCACAGCGACACAAAACGTGCGCCGAGGTCTCTTCCTCTACTCCGCAGCGTTCGCACAAGGGATCCTCAGCCACCCCCATCACGTGCAGGTGCCGCCTTAACGTGTTATGGCCAGACAACAGTCCCACCAGCAACCTTAGGTTGGCTCTACCCAGAGATAGGCAGAAGCGTCCATCCTTAGCACTGGGCCCTTCAATGAGCTCTCGTGCCTGGCGGAGATGTCTAGAGATACTTCTCCATTTCTGAGAGTGTTGTCTTGCAACCCACGTCTCCATTTTCCTCCTAGCTTTATGCGCGGTTACTCCTAGAGCTGGCTCAGGACCAACGAGCTTGCTGGCTGATCCTGTTTTCGCCAGAGTGTCCGCCGTCTCATTGCCCCTTATCCCAGCGTGCCCCGGTACCCATATTAACGATACCGGATGCCTCGCTGCGAGGCAATCCAGAGCCTCCCTGCATTGCAATACAAGACTCGAAGTAATCTTACATGCACTTAGTGCTTTCATTGCAGCCTGGCTGTCGGATAAGATTGTTATTCTTCTCCTAGGCCCACCCTCCTCCAGAATGTGAGATACACAAGCCAGAATCGCAAAGATTTCCGCCTGGAAAATGGTGGTGTACTCACCGAGAGGCAGAGATAGCCTAGTTCTAGGTCCAGAGACCCCAGCACCTGAGCCCTCTTCGGTGACCGAGCCGTCCGTGTACCAGACCTGCCCGCTCACTTCGGAGAGTCCTCGGCTACCGGCGTCCCACTCCTCCCTCGTTGGGTACTCCACAATGAACTTGCGGTTGAAGCGATATTTAGGGGTAATACGATCACCCCTGCTTAGAAGGACGGGGTCCTCCCTTTCTAATTCGACTAATATGGCAGTTTTTAGGTAACTTTTTTGTGTGCTCAAAAAAGGTAAATACTATTTTTAGAATATGCCAGTTAGTGCCGGAAGATTTAGATGCACATTTTCAAATAAGCAAATGGAAAATCTAAGGCAATATGTAGAAGATGTAAATAAAAGAGCATTTGGCATAACTCGAGAACAGTTTGCAAGAATTGTCTATGATTATGCCGAAACGCTTAGTATTTATTTCTCACCGCTTTAACAATATTACTAAGAAGGCAGGAAAATACTTTATTCAAGACTTTATGCAAAAATTTAGGTTTTCATTAAGAAAACCCGAAGCTACTTCCGCAGCGAGATTGCAAGCTTTTAATAGAACAAGTGTCGAAGCAATTTTTACTTTATATCAAAAAGTGCTGGCCAAAATAAATTACGCTCCTCATCACAGTCCAATTGGAACCCGTAGAGTCATAAAAGTGTCTTCTGCCGAAAAGGGCACAAATGTCAGTGTGGCATGTTGTTTTAGTACTGTGGGCCAACATATTCCCCCATTCTTTATTTTCCCGACAGTAAGAATGCGTCAGCATTTCTTAAATGGTGCACATACGGGATCTTTAGGCGTATGTAATGAATCAGGGTGGATGAACGCGGACACCTTTCTTTTGTGGTTACAACATTTTATAAAAAATGTAAGGCCTTCCAAGGACAATCCTATTTTACTTTTAATGGACAACAGCTCGTCGCACGTAACTTTACCGGCTGTAACTTTATGTCCAAAAATACTTAATTGATGTTTTGTGTTTTCCTCCTATCGTATGCAACCGTTGGATGTGTCTTTTTACGGACCCTTTAAAACCGCTTATAGCTTATATGATTATTTAATGCAACATCCAGGTCAAGTCATTACAACTAAAGATGTGGCAGGGTTTTTAGTGTGGCTTACAATAAGGTTACCACAATAAAAAATGCTGTTCAAGGTTTTAAAGCAACTGGTTTAGTTCCAGTAAATTCTCAAATTTTTGATGGACTATGAGCCTTCAATGACAATAGATAAACCATTCAAAGTGTCAAAGGATCTTAATAGAGAAAACCCCTCTTCTGACAGTGATATGAAAATAAAAACTACAGCTACTACTGAATTAAACCCAAGTGATACTGATGCTTCTTTAGTACTTGTCAACTCTGAAGTTATAGCAGGACCATCTAAAAAAAGTTCACTTGCTACCCTCGAACCTACAGCTGGACCTTCTAAAACATTATTTGGCTTGCCTCAACTCCCTGTTGCTATTCCCACGACAAAAAAACCAAGAAAGAAATTGCCGTCATTGTATATAACTAGTACCCCAGTTAAGGAGTAAAGAAGCTGAGAAAAAATTAAAGAGGAGAAGAAAAAAGAAAGTCAGAGAAGAAAAGCTGAAAATGCTAGAAAAGATGCTAATAAACCAAAAAGATGGCCACACAAAAGAAAAAACAGCAGAAACATGTTAGACAAATAAATTTTGATAATGACAGTGCGTCTTCAGATTCCTCCGTATCAATAGATTACATGGGAAGATTACGTCGGAGATACAGAAATTTGTTTAATTTGCAAGTGAATCAGGCAAAGATGAACTTTGGTATGCCTGCTCCTCTTGTAGTAAATGGGTGCATGCCGCCTGTACTGGTCTTACAGCATCAGAGGCAAAGCGTAAGGCATATGTTTGTGACTTTTGTCGAGTTAAATAAAAATATAATTAATTTTTAAATATAGTTTTTTTTCGTCATCTTACCCACCCAATATTGTCATCTTACCCGCCTACGACGGCAAGATGACGAACTTGACATCCAATTTTTAAGGTAAAAAATTAAATAGAAAATCTTAAAATACTTAAGTATTTGATAACTCTATTTATTTCTTAATGTTTCAAGTTAATGTTAAAATTGAACACAACGTTATTGTCGTTCCAAAAAGTAGACGTTCTCAGAATTCTCTTCGGTCTGTAAAATTTTCATCTGACCTTGTTTAATAAAATTTTTAGAAAGTGTCATGCAGAACCTCGAAATGCTGAATTGATTAATTTTTCTTAAGGCATATGTTGTAAACCCTGAAGAACTTAAACCAGTGTACAATGTGATATTTTACAGGCAGGGTTTAACTACAAAATCTAAAAAACAAATTTTGTATTAAGTTATTTGATGAGAAAATATCCATACAGGATAGATACCTCAGTTCAATATTAAATCACCTATGATTTATTATACACCACTCCAGGTTCACTTAACTTGATAAAAAAATGTCATATATACAGAATTCACCCTTATTCGTCACTCAAGTGTTAGTGTAAAATCATTTTTTGATGATGATGATGATTTCATCCGGGGGATATCTACTTGATATTTATATGCAAGACTAAAATGTTCAGTCGATTGAATCCATGTTTTCATAGTGTGGCACTCTCGTAACTGGGACTATGAGCAGCGATGCAATATCAACGCTTAGGCAACCAGAGGCATGCCACCGTCTCTCATAAGTAGTATTCTTGCAGCATCATCGAGATGATTGGCCAACATCGAGAGCATTAGAGCAGCATCGATCGACATCTAGAGAACTTCGATAAATCGTGGAATTGCTCGGAAATTTGCCAATTTCACAATACATGCCAAAGCGACTTCACTAGAACTACAGTCGACAGCGCATAACATATGTCGTCCAGTTGACATGGTCATGAAGCCATAAATTAGTTGCAAGTGTTATTAGTATAAGAGTAATAAATTACAATAAAAACGGTGTTTTCGTTAAAATATATTGATTGGAATTGTACCGTAAAGTACAGATATATGTGATCCAGCGCTTCAGTTCTGAAGGCGCATGTCTTCTATCTTTTTGACAACTTCTTTCCATGCTGTTCTGTTTTTGGTCTTTCCTCCCAGCCTAGTACGCCTGGTATTCGCATATCCTCTTTGACACTTTCCAGTCATTTCTTCTTCGGTCTTCCTCGTCTTCTTCTCCCTTCTCCTCCAAGCAGCAGTTTTCTGGTATTCCTATAAGGCGGCATTCTGTACACGTGTTCTAGCCAGCGCACCTTTGAACTTGTTTTTTTTTGTATTATACAGGGTTGGTTATACATTTCCAACAGTTCTTTGTTAGTTAGCCTTCTCCATGTACCGTCGTTGTTCTTTGTGCCCCATATATTTTATTGGTAACTTTCTTCCGTCGCTTCTCCTCATTTCTAGGTATTTTGCTTTGTCTTTATTTATAGGAAGCCCAACGTTTGGCAATTTCTTTTAACCTTCTAAAGGTTTTTCCAAGTTCTGCTTTGGGTCTTGTTATTACTGCTATATCATTGGCATAAGCAATCAACTTTATAGTAAACAACTCCATCGGTTTGTATACCACAATCACGTAAAATAACTTCCAGCGTGAAGTTAAGCAGCGTTGTAGATAGCGAGTCCTCCTTTCTCATGCCTCTCCGAAAGCTCTAGATATTTTCCCTTCCAATATGGCTTTATCCATCTTCCCGTTCATTGTCATTTTGACTAACCTTAAAAGTTTATTTGGTATTCCTAGCAGCCTCATAGCTTCATATATTTTTTCTTTGTCAATGGAATCATACCTTTGCTTGAAATCAATACTTAATATTTATATATATATATATATATATCTAATATATTCAAAAGAAATCGAGTATAAAATTAGTTCTATGCAGTTATATCAGGTTAAATATTCAGTGTAGTCAGCTTGTTGATTCCGGAAACTATATCATACTTATTATAGATATATTTATAAGAATGTTGCATATCTTTGGTTTCTTTAAGTTCAAGATAACACTCAATATTTTGATGGTGGATAGATGTATTGTACGCCATTGACAACTTTGCTTAATATAAAAAATATAAGACAGGGATGTTTGTGCTACTGTTTTTAATATCTTTGTATTCAGGGTGTAGTTTAATTGATGGGTAAAACTACACCTTGTGATTCTCCAGTTTATTTTAGGAAGAAAAGTTCATATGAACATATGTCCTAAGCCTTGTAACTTTTGAGCTACAGGGTGTTAAAGTTATAAGAAAAAAATGTTTTTTTTTAACTTCAATACTATTTTCATGAAATTTGACAAGCACCCATAAGCACCAATAGGCATTTTCTGATACAGAATGCTTTTTAATATTTCTGCCAGTGGCGTATAAAAAAATCATTTTCGATATGGCAATACATTTGACCTCTTGACCTTTTTCCGTCCGATGCACCGTTTTCGCGCAAAAAAATAAAAACCATTTTCATGCATTTGTGTGTAGGCTGGTTCCCTCTTTCTAAAAAATATTTGATTGATTGCATTGCGGTCTTATTTTGAAAAGTATCCATAAACGTGGTATTTTTTACATTGTGAAAGTTTCTTTAATCAATAATAAAAAGAAAATAAGTAGACTATGCCAAGATTCACAAATTCCGAACCAGCAGATATTCATTTGACCTGCGGACTTGCTGACGGGAATGTGCTTAGGGCTGGGCGGATATGTCAAGAGCGGTATCCAAATAGTTTCTTACCCGATGCCAGAATGTTTTCCAGAATACACCGAATATTAACATAATTGAGGAACATCGAGAGACAAGCACTAGGAAAATTGCGATAATGCTTAATGTTTCCCTTGTTCTTATTGGGAAAATACTTGTTGATAATTTTCTATACCCCTATCATATTCAGCACTACCGTCGCGTGATTTTCCATTGCGTTACACTTTTGCCGATGGTTTTCAAAAAAATTTGCTAAAACCTCCTTATTTGATAGCTAGCTTATTTGGGCTAGTTTTTCCAGCAATTTCATTCGAAATTTCTATAATAATCATGTATGGGCCGAGGAAAACCCATACGCAATTACGGAGGCACATCATCAGGATCAGTTTTCCGGCAATGTGTGGACTGGAGTAGTTGGTGTTTTCCTTACAGAACCATTCTATCTTCCAGGACGACTGGATGGTCTATCCCATCGTCACTTCTTTGAAAAAGATTTGCCAATTTGGCTCGAGGATGTACCTCTTTTATAAAGAGAACAAATGTGGTACATGCATGATGGCGCTCCAGCATATTTTAGCATCCATGCTAGGAAATTTCTCGAAGAAGCGTTTACGAATCGCTGGATAGGACGTAGGGAAACTCAATCCTGGACTCCCAGATCCCCTAATTTAAATAGTTCAGACTATTTTTTGTGGTCGACACCTCAAGACTTCAGTTTATACTACACCATTTCAAACTGCAGAAGAACTGAGGCATTTTACTGTCTTGCACAACCATAAGAAGTACACCTGAAATTTTTCAAAGGGTTTGCCAATCCATAAGAAAGAGAATAGAAGCCTGTTTTCTAGCAGAAGAAGGGCATTTTCAACAATTCTTGTGATTATTAAATTAAACAATATTAGTTTATTTGATCCACAGAAATTGCCAAAACTGTTGCAAACTTGTTTTTTAATTTTCATGCATTGCAAAATCGCTAAGATCTCTTGGGGTGGTTTGTAGGTAAGATGCTTAATTTTTATACTAGTAAAGTCAATTGATTAAAATAGCCAAAATGGCAATGGCGTACCATATCTTTTTGAAAAATCTTCAGTATACATCTTGTACTGACTGGTAGAAATATTTTTAAAAATATTCTGCATCAAAAAATTCCTATTGGATCTTAGTAGGTGCATATCAAATTTCATGAAAATATCTAGAACAGTAATAAAGTTATGATAAGAAAATGAACTTTTTCTTAAAATTTTTTAATTTGAGGTTAATATGTTAATATAAAGGTTTTTCCTAAAAGGAGCTAAGGGATCATATCCTGTATTTTTAGCCATCAATTAAATTACACCCTGTATTTTTTAAATATATAAGTAGCTTTATTTGGTATTTTTGAACTGTGTCGGAGTTTAAACGTCGAATTTTGTAGTCCTAAAGTAGACATCAAATTAATGTCGAAACATCAGCTTTATCGTTAAAGTAAATCATTGAACCCCTTAAGTATAGAGATTTCACTTACTGGGGTAAAGACCTAACTTTTATTGTATTGTTGACATGAAATCTGCTTATATAAATTATAAGTATTGCCTTAAGTCTATCGCCCTAGGTTAGCGCCGGTGTATCAGTGCCAATGCGTTACCAGTAATAAATCTTACCTGAATACGGTTCTGCACAGCATGGATAATACTCCTCATTCCTGGTGGCCGGAACAGCCAGGATGTCCCATTCCACTGATAAATAGAATTCGGACAAGTCGATGCCTACCTTCACAATGTTGCTTCCTGACTGCTGGTCCATGTGTTTCAAATCGACCTGCGGACAGAGGACAAAATCTCTGATAAGAGAAATTTATTGAAGTGGTGACTGCAAGGGGAAACCACAGCAACTCACGATCGGGGCTTATATAAGGGTTGATGCCAGAAAGTTTTGGGGAGGTTTTGAAAATATGATATTGACAGCGTCCGAGCGAAGCGAAGCTTGTTCTGGCACCATCTATGGTGATGCAACCGACAAAGATACTAGATTGCAAAGTAAAAATTCGGGAAGAGTACGTCGATGTAGAGGGAATTTGAGTCTCACTGTTAGTATTTTGGGAACGGTAGGAGATACGGAGTCGGCTGGACTTAGACGAAGCTGCTCATTCTAGCAACTAAAAAAATGGCGCTTATAAAAGTTTCGTAGTTCTGAAGGCTTCTACCGCAGGCAGACGAACAAGCCGAAATTTTCCAAAACCGTTTTTAGTTCCCCCATATTTCATTTGTGGTGAG